TCGTCTGGTGTGACGACCAAATTTTCTAGCGTGTCCTGCAGGGGCTCCACATTACCCGGTACCTTGTTTTTGTCCCCTATGTATTTAAAAAAGCCACTTCTTGTTATCCTCGATCCAGGAAGCTAGTCCCAGTTCCATCTCCGCCTTGGCCTTCCTGACTGCCCCCCTGCATCCCCGAGCAACCGCAGTATAATCCTCCCTGGTGATGGCCCCTCCCTTCCATTGGGTGTGTGCCTCCCTTTTAGCTAGGAGACATTCCCGGATCCTTTTGGTGAGCCATGGGGTGTTTTGCGCCCTCCTGCCCCCTTTGATCCATGTTAGGATTACCTCCCTTTGGGCTTGGAGGATCGTCTCCTTAAGGAGCGACCACTCTTCTTGGACACCTGGCTCCCCTCCCATCTGGGACCACAGTGCTTCCCCGACTATTCCCCTTAGCTCATTGAAGTCCGCCTTCCTGAAATCTAGGGCTGCTGCCTTGCTGTAGGCCTTTGCCAGCTTGCACTGGATGGTGAATTCCAGCAGGCAGTGATCACTGTTGCCAAGGTGGTCGAGCACCCTCAGCCCCCTCACCAGGTTGTCACCCGTGGCCAGCACCAGGTCCAAAAAGGTGTCGCCCCTGGCGGGGCTGTGCACCTCCTGAGTTAGATGGTGGTCCTGCATTCTGGCTAGGAACCTATGTGAGCGTTCAGACCTTGCTGATTGCTTTTCCCAGCAGATGTCTGGAAAGTTCAGGTCTCCCATGACTACCACATCCTTAGACTTCACTACCTCCGTGAGCTGACTTAAGAATTCCTGGTCTAGCTCTTCCCCTTGGTTGGGTGGTCTGTAGTAGACCCCCACCGATAAGTCTCTTTCCCCTCGACTGCCTTGTATTCTAACCCAGAGCACTTCAGAGTGCCCCTCCTCTGATTCTTTGCTAATTGACAAGGATGTGTATTCCTCCTTAATGTTGAGCACCACACCCCCTCCTTTCCTCCCTGTCCTATCCCTCCTGTACAGCCAATAGCCCTTGATATTCACCGCCCAGTCATGTGTTGGGTCCCACCACGTTTCAGTGATCCCCACTATGTCTGTGTTGGTGTCAGCTAGCAGGAGGGTAAGTTCCTCTTGCTTGTTTCCCATACTACGAGCATTTGTGTAGAGGCATTTGAGGCCTCCTGAGGATATGTGCACTGGCCCCCTACTTTCATCATTATCCTAGCCCCTGTCGCTTACCTGTGTATATGTTCCACTCATCGGTCTAGGCTGGGCTGTACTTGTGGGTGTTGCTTGGTTTGGCAGTCCAAGGCTTCCTCCACCCTCGTATTATAGTATTGTGCCTTATCTATGTGCATGTATGCAAATATATTTAAATAATTATGCAACAGACCTACTTTAAAAGCCAACTATTAGTAAGTTTGCAAAATCAGGTACTTGGAAGTTATGAAATGCTAGAATTGAAGTTGTAAATGTAACTTGAATTTGGTACCTTATCTTCTGTGCGCACACTACAATACTATCTTTAATTATATGACCACACGCATCTTTCTCCAGGATTCCTGCCTCATTCAGTGTACACTTAATGAGCAGCTATTCAGTATACTGTTGGCTGCTGAACATTCAGTGGAAGACACTAGGCCTCAATTACTCCACCTTATTCAAATCCTGGTCTGAAAACAGAATGATTCATTTCTTCATGGAGCACTTTTCTGTGGCACCAACCACTTTAATACCTGAGAACTTCACAAATTGTATTGAATTTATTATCACAGTAGGCTTATGAACTATTAGGGATTATGATTCCTGTTTAAAGAGATGAGGCACAGAAAGATTAAAGTCAATTCCCTACTAATTTTGGATACCCAATTTGAGGTACTTTAGGCTCTGGTTTTCCGAGTATTTAGTATTTTCATAAAACTAAATATACTCAAGGCATACTCACCACCATCCCTTTGACTTCTATTTCAGTTGTTTGGGCTCAGCACTTCTGCAGATCAGGTTCCATGAATTTCAAGTCAGGCACCTGGTAAATGAGAAACACACAACTAGTGAAAAGTTTGGTTTAAATTACAGAGGATCTCTGGGGCAAAGGTGCATGAGGAATAGAATACACCTCTCAGGGCAACATTTCAACTGCCTTTAGCCTGAGAACATCGTCTCTCTCCCTGCAGTCCCCTGTCTCATTTAATTCACACCACCTTGCTTCTGAAATTGAAACTAAAGGGGTCCTATCAAAAACCTTCCCCCCTGCCCATGTCCCATATCCTCATAGGTTCTCAATTTTAACCCCTCTTCCTTGTCTAATCTCTATGTCTCATTCCCTTCCCCAGCTCTTTGTCCCAGTCTTTTGTCCAGCTGGTACTAATTCTCCTCTTTGCATTCTTCCTTCTTCTTAGATCATTCTCCTCTTCCCCTAACTCCCTCCCTCCAGCCCTACTAGTTCTTAGTCTCTCTTTTCATGCTTAACTTTATTCCTCAGTTTCACATCTGATTTCAGTCTCTCCCCTAGTTAGTCCAGTACCCTCGCTGCTATTCTCCCCATTTATCTTCCCAAACTGCTTACCTAGCCACTCCAGTTCCAGTCCTCCCCAGCTCCTTACCTAGTTCCAGTTTCCCTGCAAGCTCCCAATGTCAGTCACCAACTGCAACTTCTACTTCCAGTTTCCTTGCTCTCACAGCCTAGAATTTCCCCTGTCCAATTCCGAGGCCCAGGTTCCTGCTTCACCCACAAGCTTAATATATTAGTTTCTAAATCCTTGCCCCAATGTATGCCCTTTGCTTGTTATTGTACCCACTCCATTCAAATAAGGCAATTTGTTCCTACCTGGGCCCAGCAGAGGGGTCTCTAAGAACACATGAAGGACAGAATCTCAGTTTCAGTTCCTGGACCCAGGCCTGGTACAGCTGTAGTGATCCAAAGCTGCGATAGCCAGAAAAGTTCTGCTCAGCCCAGGCATGCCCAGTGTGGTTTGGATTTTCTTGAAAGTTAGCTGTCAATAACTAATTAGTCAGAACTGAGCATTAGGGATATATGAAGCTTCAGGTGCTGATTTGATTTGGGGGAAATTCAGCCCAATTTGGCAACCAAATCTCTGAATCTGACTTGAATCGGGAGACCAATAAAAAGATCTGAATCAATTCAGAAAAGAAGGCCCCATCCCCTGCCTGCTCCCCCAGCACCCTGAGTGCCCCCCGACTGCTGCCCACTCTCCCAGCACCAACAGTGACTGCCCTGCCCGGCACCAGCATCCTGGCTCTTTAAAAAAAAACAAAAAAAACCCTGAACTCACTAGTTCCTGCCAGGCCGGGGATGGGAGGGGGGTGATCCCTGCTGCACCCCATTGTCCTGCACTACATGGGAGGCTCTGCCATGAGCCCCCATACCCCACCTACTCTCCCAGCCCTGTCAATGGCTGCCCCTCCTGGCCCCAGTGTCCTGGCTCTTAAAAAAAAAAAAGCCTGCACTCACCGGCTGCTCTGGCAGCAGCTAAATCTCCGAATCAAATTCAGCTGAATCAATTTGGGACAAAGATTCGAATCACCAAATTGAATCACTGTGCCCCGAATCGGTTGAAGCAGAATCTGAAGTGAATACTAGCCGCTTCGCACAGGCCTACTGACCGTGTACAAATTGTTATTTGCTGCATTGGGGGTTCAGGGGAATAGCAAAAGGCACATCCTTGATGGAAAAGCTATCCCCTGCAAATTACAAGTGTCTGCTTCTGAAGCATTGGGCTGCTAAAACATTCAAAAGAAAGTCACCAGGATTTTTAACATAAAACAATGTACTTTTCCCCAAGCTGCATCTTTAGAATTGACTTGAACATTTTAGCTTGAATTCTACAAGAGCATTCAGTCTAAGGCAGATATGCAATATGACAATTTCAATCCAAACTGTTAAAGTTTGACACAGTGTTAAGCAAATTAAAATAAAGCCTTGTAATGGGAATAAATTACATGGAGACATAAACAGAAATGTCATTACTAATAAACAAAAACAATGTGTTGGATTGAACACTATGGAATTCTATACTCCAGTGACCCTGAAATCAAACATGAAGAGCTCAAAGGATTATCAAAATTTGAAGTTATGACAGATTTGGACAATGATCCAATATTAGAAGATTTGCAGAAAGCCATAAAATCAATTCCTGGGAACCAGGCATCCGGCAAGTTCTGTTTGTCAACTGAAATCTACAAATGTGCTGATGATGAATTACTTCAAAAGCTTCATGAAGTTATACCGCTCTGTTGGAAACAGGAAGCAGTTTTGCAATATGTCAAAGATGCTCTGTTTGTACAATTATACAAAAAAACAAAGGGAATAGAAGTAACTGTGACAACTATAGAGGTATAGTTAAACTATAAAGGTAGAGTTGAATATCATCAGAAAAAATTGTCACTCACATCATGATCCCTTGTTTGCAATCTCTAGGTGAAAGAATCTATCCTGAAAGTCAATGCAGTTTTTTTCTCAGGATGTTCCACCATTGGTATGATATTTTTGGTCAATTAAGTGTAGAAAAAAAAGAATACCATTGGTACAGTCAACAGACTCTTTTTACTGTTCTGAAGAAACTAGGTTGTCCCCTCCCACCCAAACTGTAGAACATTATTCACTCATTACATCAAGTTATGAAGGCAAATGTAGTGTATGAAAACAAAGAATCAAATGCCTTTGACATCAGCAATGGGGTAAAAAAGGCTTAGCCACCATGGTTTTTAACATCCACTTTTCATTCCTGCTTCTTCATGCATTCAAGGACAGCAATGATGGTATTTATCTTCAAACCAGACTAGATGGAGGCTTGTTCAGCACTGCAAGGTTTAGAGCAAAAACCAACATGAAAGAATTGCCACTGAGAGACTTCCTGTTTGCAAATGATGTGGCTTTGTTAAATCTTTCATCAAAATCACAGTGAGTGTTCCCTGCAAAATTTCTTGGGCAGATTTTATGAGTTATGCAAGAGATTCAGGTTGGCAATTAGTCTCAAGAAGATTGTGATGATGTACCAAAGGGTGGAAGAACCAATACCTGACATCACTCTGGAGGATAAATTTCTTGGCATCATTGACAGTTTTTGCTACTTGGGTTCTACAATCAGCAGGAATCTTGGTCTTTAGACTGAACTAACAGAATCAGAAAAGCAGTTAAGAATTTCAGGTTATTACAGAAACATGCCTGGGATAACAGCAAACTAGCAGCTAAGGTGAAGATGTGAATCTACAAGACTTGTGTGCTCTCATCCCTGCTTTATGGTACAGAAACATGGACTACATATGCTAGGCACATCAAGAGACTGAGCTTCCCCATGAGATGTCTCTGTAAGATCCTGAAAATAGTGGGAAGACAGAATAACAAACACAGCGGTACTGGAGCGCACAAAATTTGGAAACTACTATCAAGAAGGGAGGATGCAATGAATCGGCCATGTCAGGAGAATGGGAAGAGACCATATCCCCAAGAATATTTTGTATAGTGAGATTTGAGATGGCTTTAGAAAGTGGGGTTGTCCTCCATGGCAGTACCATGATGTGTGCAAAAATTATATGAAGTAATTCAAAATCAGTGTAGAAAGCTGGGAGGAGCATGCAGAATCCCAACCAATCTGAAGGGAATATTTGGCACTGAGCGCAGCTCAACATGAAGCAGTTTTGATACAGAAGATGGAAGCAAAGCAAGAAACAAGAAAGCAGAATACTGTAAACTTGGATTCTATCTCAGATGACATATGAATCTGTAAAACTTGTAACAAGCTGTGTCGCTCTTGAATTGAGCTTGTCAGCCACAAATGGATTCATCAGACATCTGACTAGACCTCTTATGTGTACACGAATTATCCAGAGGATTGATGGTTGCCTACAACTGCAAAGAGCAAGAAGTCCTATGGACAAATACTGTGTAATACAGGTAATACCTGTAATACAGATAATGAAATTTGTAATATAAGGCATATGCACAAAGAGGGCAAATTAAGGTTAATGCTGGCCATTCCTAACTTGATTCTGTAACCTTAAAAATGTTAGGTTAATGTAGTCTGTACATGAGACTTAGTACACTGGTATATTAAATATGTGCAATATGATATGGCCTGGTAGCTTCCTCTCTGAATAAGAGGGCCCTGATTCTTTTCCCAAACTAATGTTACATTATAGTGTGTTACATTCAGTTAAGTTATTCCTGATTTATACTGGCAAAACAGAAAGCCTTAGCCCTTTTTTTATTCAAATGTACACAGACATACAGGTGTGTACATGTGCACATATACTGAGAAAAAGAGAAAGGACAAAACACATTTTCATGAACAGTATATTTTGTGCATTGCCAACTTCAATGACAATGGTTTCTATTGCATTTTGTGGAGAGAGAAATATGCTTCACCAACCTGGGGAGATCATATTGCTGGACAAAACATACTTAGCTTCCTACTAACAGGCATTAGATTGACGGTTGAGTCCCTGAGTGATCCAACAAACAAGAATATAATAGAGGCCTTTTCAGTGGTAGTGTATGTCAGTCAAAATTATTGTGTGATATGGTTTTAATTTCATGCTGCATATCAAAAGAAAGGGTATGTCTACGCACCTATTTAGGGTCAACCTTGGGGTTGCCTTCAACTAGCCATATAAGTTTCTCTTCTCCATCTACATCAGGGGTATCCAACCTTTTTTAATGTGGGGCTGGATCATGAACTTTTTATCACCCAGTGGGCCAGAAAGCCATATTCAAAGACCTCACAGGAAGCGGTATCACATCACCCCCAGAAACGAAAGTACAGTGTTTACTTTTGGTTTTCGTTGCAGCACCGTGGGCCTCAGAAAATGGCTTGGAGGGCTGCATGGTATCCTGCAGGCCATATGTTGGACAAGCCTGATCTACAACGTGTCTTATTGTGCTGCTTATATATTTCCAGGCAGTAGAAGCAGGAAGTGAGGTGCTAAAGAAAGGAACAGCGAAGTGTGGGACTGATGGCAGTAGACTTTCTGTGCTTGATGCCTGCACATCCGTGTACGCTCCAAACACAAAGCACACAGGGGGTGAATGGACATTAACCTAGCCTTATACGTCAAAGAGGTATAAAGGGTCAGCTGGGCTTCCATCTGGCCTTGAGTTTAGGGGCTTACAATATGGATCATTCTTAAAGTGTGCTTACAGACCTACACCATGAGTTACAGCCCCCCACCTTAACACAACAGACATTTGCCTGTCGGATTGGTGGGGGCTGAAGGCTGCCTGCACTGGCCATAGCTAGCCCTGCTCTCTCCCAGCTCCAGGGCTGTCAGTGGGGGAGGAAGGGAGAGGGAGAGCAGCAGCATGAAACTGCTGGCTGCTTTGAATAGCCAGAGCCAGGGGGAAGGCGGGGAGCAAGGGAGTCCCCCTTGCCTTGCAGGCTCCCCCCACCTACCCTAGCTGGGGTATTTGGGGGAGCCAGGCTAGGCCAATGAGGCAAGGGGGCTCTGAACCACCACCTCCCAGCTCTAGCCAAGCAAAGCATCCTCCAGGACCATGCTGGCTGCTCCCTCCACCTTCTTCCCCCTATCCCCCTGGCTGCTCCCCCACCCCTTTCCTGTCCCACTGATAGTCTTACAAAGGGGGGGAAATGAACCCTGGAGGGAACACAAGTTCCCTAAGGCACCTTAATTTAATATCTCATTTGACTAGGGTTAATTTTTCACGTGACTGGCCATTTTAAAAGTGCTCTGCATCATGCACCTGTGTTAAGTCATGGCTATAGAGCACTTTCAGAGGTCCAATCCCATGAAAAGTATAACCCGTGTAACTACCCAAGATTAACAAATAACTCTTGATGGTATTTGTAAGTGGGCCACTCACCCAGCTTTGTTATTAAGGGCAGTCAGGTATGTATGTTCCAGGATTGCAGCCAGTTTATTTTACATGGGACAGTCTTATCCCAACAGTAAAAGAAAAACAACAAAACAAGAGTTCAGTCAGAAAACAAATGAACAAACAAAACCTGTAATCTGTCTTCAGGCCCTGGGATGAGCAACACAGGCTCTGTACTTCTCCCTAAGCACCATCATCCTTCTCCCCTGCTCCTGGAGCTCTTAGCACTCTGGGTGCATGTAGACATTCATTAATGCACTGTAGTTACAGCACATTAATTTTGGTGCCTGTAATAACAGATGCTAATGTAATGTCCCATAATCAGTGCTGCTGCGCAGTAGTGCAGGTGCACACTTTTTTGTGATGCTAATGTTCAGTAGACAGGCAAGGATCTCTGGGTAGATGTGATATCTTTTATTAGACCAACTAAATAGTTGGGAAAAAATGGTCTTTGCAAGCTATCAGGCACAAACACCCTTCTTCTGGCAATGGGAGACTCTGCTGGTGTTAAGTATTCTCCAAGGTAGAAAAGAAGCTAATTTACAACATGCAGATCTGTGAAAATGCAAATGAGTGGAAGTTTGGAAGACAAAAGTTAGAGATGAGGGGGAGGAGGATGAAAATGTGTGAAGGAATATAAGTTGTCAGCTGCAGGCAGGTTATCTGGGGTTATGAGATGGAACGCCAGTTGTAATGTGTCATAATCCAGTGTCTGTATTTAGTCCATGATTTTTTGTATCCAGTAGATTTATGAAGTGAAGTTCATAGGCTCATCTACAAAAGCTGTTTTAGAACTGAGAAACTGGAGAGGGAGTGGTTGTCTTGCAAGAAGTGGGCACTCACAGGTAATTGGGTATTTTCGTCTTTGATGTATTTTCAGTGTGCTTCATTCTGGAGCACAGTTGTTTGGTTTTTCCTACATATTTTCCATGTGGGCATTTGGTGCACTGGATGAGATATATTACATTTCTGGAGGTGCAGGTGTAAGATCCAGGAATGATAATGGTTCTGTTGTGGGATGTAGTTATTGTGGGACTGGTAGAGATATGTTGGCAGGTTTTGCATTTCTTGTCCTGGCATGGTCTGAATCCATTTGGTGTGGTTTGGGTCATAGGAAGTTTGCTTCTGGTGACTTCAACCCCAGGTAACCTGCCAACAGCTGACCACTTATATTCCTTCACATACTTCCCTCCTCCTCCCCCACATCTCTACCTTTTGTCTTCCAAACTTCCACTCATCTGCATTTTCACAGACCTGCATGTTGTAAATTAGCTTCTGTTCTACTTTAGAGAACACATAACACTAGCAAAGACTCCTATTGCAGGAAGACGGGTGTTTGTGCCTGACAGCTTGCAAAGAACATTTTTTCCAACTATTCAGTTGGTCTAATAAAAGAGATCCCATCCACCCAAAGAACCTTGCCTGTCTATGTCCTTAGACCAACACAGCTACAACCAACAACCTGCAATGTGCAATAGACTAATTCTACTGCACATTAGTGCATTAGCATGGTTTATGCCTGCCATGCACAGTAGATTTATTCTACTGCACATTTAGCATCTCATATAGATGTTCCCTCTGTAGCTCTATGTTCATTAGTTGCAGCTGGCTCCCAGCCTTCCAGCCAGGCAATCCCCTGAAGGCAGA